TACAGACACATATGCTCGTAATAATTTTTTTTTTTGTTTTTTTTTTTTATCATCATCCTACAGGGCTTAAGCGCAATCTAGCTTTTTATCTATTAATCACATATGTAAGCAATAGAAAATTTATTGAGGAAACAGAACGAAATATTCATTACTCGTTGTTTTCTTTCTTCTACATGTCTTTTTGTAACGATTAGAAAGAGAAATAGTCATGGGAAAGTACTTAAAAAAAAATGCAAATGTTTCTTCCGTTTTCCTGTCAGCCTGAATGGTACAACTTTTTATAGGCACTTTCAGAAGATTGTTTTTCGGTCGGTTAATCTTAATCTTTGTTTTAGGGCCTTCATTCTCTAGAACAGGGATGGGCAATCGCCAACCCGCGGACAACGTTTAAAATTGCAAATGATTTAATTTGCTCGTACATGGCAATGCTGCAAATCGATTGTGTCTGCTCTTATCAATTTACTCAGCTGTGCAGCTATCAAATTTAAAATGTGTTTAAGTGTTTTTTCTTTTTTCTTTTTAATGTTAATTAAGCCATCAATCCGACCGATTTAAAAAGAAAGAAAATTAAAGCAAGATGCCACAGTTTTAATAATCGGTGGATCTTGATATAATTATTTACAAATACGCAGGAGAAAGCTTTAAACAGATGAAAATTTACAAGCTTTTCTTTGAGTAGCACTCTAATTATATGATGTGATAACGAATCAGGAACAGTGCAAATTTAACCCATCGCATTCAAGTTTGCGTAACGTGTTTACTGTATTCATTTTGTTAAAGAAAATATATTTATTACAAATAATAATACAATATTTTAATTTTTATCTTTTTGGTAATCCATTCAATCTGTTCTGGCCCCCGGAGATTACTTTAATTAAGATCTCGTCTAGAAATTTATCAGAAAATATTGCGATTTCCCAAAGAAACCCGAATCGATTTAGAACGACATTTTTGCGAAGAGCAAATTGATAGAATATATGAGATTAACATTCCGATCTATTTGTTTGCATAAATATCGGTAACTTGAAACCTTTTTTTACCCTCCAATAACGACCAAGTTTCACGACTACATGAATCCTTTTTAAATATTTCCCGCGATTTAGCAAATCACACGTAAAGAAAGAAAAAGAGAACTTGATAAAGAAATCAACTAAACTAAAATAACCCAATGCTAAGACTCAAAGCAAATTATAAACGGTCTTCAATATTGAAATCCATCAATACTCTGAAATGAATTATTGTTGGCATCAATGCAGAGTTAATAACTACATACGCAATTCCTGGTGCCTTTTTTTACGCAATGCTCTCATTCTACAAATCTAAAAATTTTCTTCTTTTTATTACAATTAAATGCTCGTTGAACGATGGCGTACTTGTATATAAGCACGTACGCCATATATATTAGCTTACAACTGAGAAATAAACTTCTTACGCTTATACGCAAGACATTGTATCTGTTCTTGTTGCCATTTTTCGCTAAGAAAGGATTTGTAAAAATCTAAAGAAGGCAAGTGGAACGAAAAATAAAATAGAAAAGATTCCAAGCTGAATATCAATCAATTTCTTGATCTTAAGCGATTATTGTCAAGCAAATTTTTACTTTCTTATCAAAAATCAGGGAGTAGAGCATTGTAAGCAGAGAATATATCGTAAAAGTAAGTCAAGATAGATGAGCATCCATGGCACAACTAAATAAGCCACAGGCTGATATTGCATACATCCTCAAAACCTTCCGTAATAAACCAGACTCAAGCCTTGATAACGATGAAAATTCGGATACCTCCCTGTCTTTCTTCAGTAAAAGTAGCCCGAGAAGTGATCTTAAACTTTGACTGGAAAATACTCCCGGTTTCTCAAATTATTCGTCCGACTTGTTTCCTTCTAATGAGCACCGTTTCAAGTCGATGCAATCATATTTAGGAAATCAGCAGCTCACTAAAATTAAAAATATACGAAAATGGCTCCGTGATTATTTCACCTCGGAACAACGAGTAAAACGATAAAAAGCAAAAGATCATAGCTAACGCTAACGGTCGGGCATATTTCGATTATCAACAACATAACATTTGTAAAAAACATATTTCAAATGAGGTTGAATTTTATCAAAAAAGGGACACACAATAATAAACTAATTTTTACTAAATTTGAGCGAACTTATTTATCTGACTTATCTGACTGACTGAACGTTAAAGTCAAGTTTAATATTTTAGAAAAAGTTTCGAGAACGCGGTCAGGTTTTCAACGAAGTAGAAAGCACAAGCAGAATATTTACAAATTGTCTCCTCTTTATAAGACGATGTAGGATGTTTCAACAAAATTAATTAGAGGGTTATTATTATTATTTTAGGCAGAGAATAAATTCTAAGTGTAAAGCACTTTATCAAAACGCTACGCATTTGAGATTTGATGAATACACGACCATTGAGTTGGTCGTGGTCGAGACTAGCCTACCCGGCCACTCAGACGGACCTGATTAGAGGTTAAATTGTAATCAGCTTGCTCTTATTGACTTTAACATGTGTCTTTGCCGTCTTTTTAAACACATACATAATACATAGTATTCGGTTATGTTAAAAATTCTGTTTTTCGAAAAATAAACCATCATCTCATGTCACCGATATGCATATGTTTTCTCTTAAAACCTCGCTCAGCGTCGCACAAACTCTTCTCCTCATACCTCGTATTTTTTAAAGGCAGTGTTTGCCTTTCAAGTTCGATTAGCACATAATTCAATTACACGCATTGGGCTCCAACATATTTCATAGAATCAAATAAATATAAAAATAAGAATTATTTAAATTATCTCCGAATTGCGATTACTTTTTGCTCGAATTTAAGATTTAAGACCAGATGGCGAAAAATGTAAACAGCAAAAAAAAAAACGCAAAAAAAAAAGAAAAACATTAAGAAAGTCTGGTATTATATGTAACCAAAATGATTTTAAACTTTTGAAATATGTGAAATTCATTTTTCTTTTAAACAACAATAAGAGATGTGCTCGCTCTGTATATATGCATACATATGCATGCACGCATTTAAACCTTCCTTTGTTGGCGCAGACAGAGCGCTTATTATTGTTGTTACGATTGCTGTCATGTTGAATAATAACTAAATAGGAAAACCGCATACACTTTGAACCGAATCTTGAGTACCCACCATCTACGGCAAAGACATATAGATCGATCCCTTAGTTAGCGTTTTATATATTTAAAAGTGATATGGTATGGCATCGTTTCGTACCATTTATTACCTTATGTAAGTTGTTTGGAAATACATATATATATATCTATATTTTTTTGTATTTACCAAAACATTTATTATTTAATTAGGTCAGTTTAAGTCCTTCTTCTAAACGGCTTGGGCGAAATAACAAATTCGATCTGTAAATTTGAAGTAAGAATGTGCGATACATATATGTGCTCGTGCGAGAAGACATGAGTGCACATCCCGATCGATTGTGCATTGTGTACGTGTTACACAATCTTAAACTGATTAAATGAATGTGGCATTGTTTTTGAAATTAATATTACAATTATAGTGGACGTGGCTAAGGAGGACGCAAATAGTTACCAGATTTCATTCGCATTTTCATAACCATGGATAGCATAAATTGAATACATTGCTACCCTCTACAAGAATGGAAAGAGATATGCCTGAATTCGTTTAAAATCTCGGACTGAAGGTGAGAAGAAATGCGTAAAACTACTGAGCAATTCTGTAACTTACGCTGATAAAACAAATAGAAACGTGATCGAGCGCGGTTCCTTTTTTCGTATACCACTTAGCCTAATACATTCAAAAAATTATTCATTACTGCCTTCTAAAGGCTTACTTCTTACAAGCATTCCGCGGCGGGATGGCGGAGTATGTAAAACTCGGAACTAGCAAGTCAATGTTCTCAAGTGCAGTAGAGTTTATTTTGGTGTGCCACTATAGTGAGGGCTCAGCCGATAAAGGCATAATACTTCTCGATTGGGCACACACGCACTAGCCCGCGTCCACCATTTCCATATTCCTTCGTTCTTTTTCTTAAATAGTTGTCATAAGGAATCACCCCGTGTAATTAGTCACACTTATTTAAAAAACAAAAACAAAACAAAAAAAAAGATTAAAAAGAAATATTGAGATTGTTGTTCACAAAACTGACCTATGGTGTCCACATTTGCCACATAATACTATATGGACGGTTAGATTAAATCAATTCAAAAAATGATTCTAAACCAAACGGTATAATAGAAGTTGCAGTCAATCTCAATCCCTCTATATAGAATAGAAGGCATGGCTAAATGGTTCCATTCATAATTTCATATTCATTAAGCATATATGCATATGCACAAGGTAGGTTGAAATATCGTATCAAGTGCTGCCTATTATTAACTGTTACAAACGGATTAGCAAAATTATTGTATCTTGATCCTCCTCCATTGGCGAATATAAAATAAGCGAAGATAATTATAATATACATAAGCGTAGCAATACTAAGGAAAGAATACTCGAACATACAACAATACAATTTAAAGTGATTTTTTTCAATAGCGTTTAACTGGTGGCAAAATATGTGATGAATAGCTTGCAATATTAACACCGCTCGTAGACTAAATTGACTTGAGCAGTTACTATATAACGTATATAACTAAATGTATTCAACTGCTTAGCTGGCTGGGTAGGTGGGTGTAGACAGATGCAAAACAAAAAAAAAAAACAATTCCTAACACTTACATTAAACATGGCTGTTATGCTGTTTTATCCATGTTTTGTTATAGCAATAATAACCATAAATATTGCTTTAATTGCATTATAACAAACTCAACCTACTACCGATGTATATAAAAAATAGAAAGAAAAATCTTTCAATACAACAAGTGTATCTCAAATGTACATATGTTAATTTTCTGAAGTATTTATGCAACAATTTAATAATTTAATATAGCGTATAATCTTGTATGATGAAAAGATGAAAATATGATTAACTGAAGATAGACGATAAATAATACACTTACCTGACTGTGGTATCATTGCTACCAGAAACCACATATTCACCGGACGGATTAAAATCTAATGTGCGAACACTTTTCATGTGTCCATTTAAGGTAGAGCAAATTGTTTGAGCGTTTAAATCCCATCTCCTTATAATACCAATATCGTCGGCTGAGTAAACAAAATCATCATTGTAAGCAAAACGTACGCAATCTATGGGCCGATTATGTCCAGTTAGCGACTGCAAAATGATTATTATAAAGAATATTTGAATGAAAAGCCTGGGCTGAAGTTTATCTATCAAACGTGTATTTATGTAAATATGTATGCGTCTATGTTACGTATATACAAGATCTATACATATATATGTATAGATAGTTATATATATTTATACGTATTACTTACCATAAAGCATTCTGTTTGGCCAATGGCCCAGAGGTTGACATTGCGGTCCTGACCTCCGGTTACTAAGACACGACCGGTTTCACCGACATCCAAACAATTAACATTACCATTATGAGCCTTTATTTCATCTAAAAATTAAAAAAATTCTAAATCACATAAGCTAATCTTTAAAACAGCAGATATAAGTATTTAAGAGAAACAGAAGAAAAAAAAAAAAAAAAGAAAGTATCATTGAAGCTCTCTCACCAAAGATTTTCCATACAACCGACCCACACGCTTCGCAAAGCTTGACATATCAGGTGTGTCGAATCGCAAAACAAAAAACCGGCTATCCTTGCTTTTTTCACATGTGTTTCAATACAAAGGGGTTGAAAAAAGAAAAACAAAAAAAACAAAAAAAAAAAAAAAAGACGAGTCGTTGACCACGCAAATAAGGTGCTTTATTAAATTTCCTTTTTTACTGTTTGCGGGCTAGACAACAAACCGAAAACCACTGGAGGGGGAGCTTACATGGGATAAAAACAGAAAAGAGAAAATTTCTCACACCTATACTGAGTTAAGTGTATATACATATATATATATATATATATATATATATATATATATATACAAATGCAAAAGCAAACAACCTGATACCAAATGAAGAGCAACATAACAAAGATAATGGGGCCAAATAACACGGCTACAGAAATGCATTAAAGATTTGCATAACCTTGCAGTTGGTCGTATTATGTTGATATTTTTGTTCATTTAAATATATCTCCATACAACTAGTTTCAGCTTTAATAGGCAAAGTGATATATGTAGCGCGATAAATCATTGTGCAGATCTCTGAAACCAAAAGTGGCAAAAACATGCAATGTCAACTGCAACTGTAAATATCCGGCAATGCATGTTTGTGTAGTCGACCATATACGGTCCTGGGCTGGGATTTTATCGTGCAGCGTATATATATACATATATATATATATATATATATATATATATATATATATATGTGTGTGTGTATGTATGTATGGATGTATATATATATATACACACATAAGTGTTCAATAAATATATCTCTATAAACTGACATATATGCACATACTTACATATTCTTTCTGTTAATTTACGCGCTAATGCCATTACTTTATAGCCACTTTAACGCCGTAATTTTTATATATCGATGAGAGCAATTGATTTTGATTTGTGATGTCGCTTAATTATTATTATTATTATTATTATTGTCTTGCCACTATAAACGACAATTTACTCACTGATTAACTTCTTTGTTTTAACGAAATTTCCGTTTATATATTTGTATTTGCAAAGAGCAAAAATTAGCTCAGAATTATGTTATTTTCTGTTCATTTGCCGCAAACCGTTAAAATTGGATTTCTTGCTATACTTTGTTGTTGAAGCTTTTTTTTACTTTTTTTTATTTTATTAGTAACAGTAAACTGGCCCCACTAATGAATTTTCTATTTTCAAATTACACGAGTCGACTAACTACGAGACAACTACGTACGACACAATGACGATTTTCACAACCACACTCACTTTGCATATTTGCACCGCATGTACGCATAATTCTTTTTTTTTCTTCAAGTCTTTACAAAACATAACAATTTAGAACAACGCGTTGACAGTCTTTTTTCTTTCAAATCAATTTTTTTTGCACGATTATAAATATAACTAAAGCAAAAATTCTTTCCATTTATTTCGCTGCTGTCACCAACAAACAGCACTAAAATAATAAAAACAACAAAATCCTTTCTCCGTTTTCTTTTGTTGAAATTTAGAAAATAAGCAGCTGTCAAAATAATTAACAGTCTTGCCAACTCGTACGACATAAGGCTGTTTAATATTGGTTCATTAAATGTTATAAATGGGAATTTAAATATTTTTTTTTTTTTTGAGAATATAATAAGAAAAAGCCCTATATGCCTGTTAATAACATCGGCAACACTGAGGCTGACAAACAATTTTTGTATTTCTGCAAATAATCGTGGATAATTTAAGCGGCTTAAAAAGTAACATTCTCTTAAATCTATTAAAAACTAATAAGAATGTCGCGTTATGATCGAGCTGTCACCATATTTTCACCAGATGGACATTTACTTCAGGTAGAATATGCTCAGGAAGCAGTACGTAAAGGTTCAACAGCGGTAGGTCAACACCTAACCTAGTTATTTGCAAACTAAAAGTAGTTCTATGAAAATATTTCTTTATCTCACTCATAGGTGGGTGTTAGAGGAGCTAATTGCGTAGTATTGGGGGTGGAAAAGCGATCGGTAGCTCAATTACAAGAAGAACGCACTGTACGAAAAATTTGCGCTTTAGATGATCATGTTGTAATGGCTTTCGCAGGCCTGACTGCAGATGCTCGTGTTCTGATTAATCGTGCACAAGTCGAATGTCAAAGTCATAAATTAAACGTTGAGGATCCCGTTACTCTGGAATACATCACAAGGTATGGAAGCAAAATTTTAAAACAAAAAAACTACATTGGGCTACGCGTTATAGTTCAATATGCATTACTTCGAGCAGTGCGTAGACTAGCGAATCATAGACAATCCCGATACAGCAGATTACAAGCTGTGACTGTTGTTGGATATATACAAAGATTTGCGTATATATTTGTCCTTACTTTTATGGCCTTACTTTTTTATTTTTGTAATTTATATCTGCAGCATTAATTTTGTGGCAAAAATTATATATCTCACAGATTTTAATTTTTTATTTTGCACAAACCTTTAATTTTTAAGTTTAATCTGTCTTTAACTGGCGGCAACAAACGCGAGCATGACTAAATTGATTCGATTATTTACGTTAATAGTGACTACATATGTATATATTATAAAACTTTTGATGGATATTCTAAAAATGATGAACATTATGAATAGTAAGTCATTGAAAAACAATGCTTCTTGCAGGTACATTGCTCAACTGAAGCAAAAATACACCCAAAGCAATGGACGTCGTCCTTTTGGTATATCTTGCCTAATCGGTGGTTTTGATTACGACGGTACTTCTCATTTATATCAAACTGAACCTTCAGGCATTTATTATGAGTGGAAGGCTAATGCTACCGGACGTTCGGCCAAAACTGTGCGGGAATTCCTAGAAAAGCATTACACTGATGAAGAAGTTGCTGAAGAGAAGGGTGCCGTTAAATTAGCGATTAAAGCTTTGCTTGAGGTAGCTCAAACCGGTCAGAAAAACTTAGAAATTGCTGTTATGGAGAAGAATAAGCCTCTGAAAATGCTCGATACCCAAACAATTGAGAAATACGTGGCTATTATCGAAAAAGAGAAGGAAGAAGAAATCGAGAAAAAAAAACAGAAAAAATAAGACCAACAGCGGGTAGAGGTCAGATTAGCTTTTATAAAAATATTTAAATTTCTTATTTTTGGAGGTAGAAGATGTAGTTTCTACTTCAGCCCGATATGTAAACAACATTACAAATAAAATCAAACTTCGTTGCCGAAGATCAACTTAAGAACGCGTGGTATTTTGCACACTTTTAGCTATGTTTCGTTTATTTATTTTTTTTATTTAATTTTCTTATATAACTTAATCTGATTCACTTATAAATTGCTGCTCAATATTAACAAATTGTTACAGTTCTACAAAATATATTTCGTATGTGGACACAGTTGTTTCTTTACTTATAGGTTAAACAAACATAGGTTTGAATTTTAATAAATTAAAAACGAATTGACACAATTACATAAATACACGCGTACGCGGCTATAGTATTCTAACTTAAACTTTACCAGTTCCGTACACAGCAGCTGCTGTAAATCCTTTCTTTCATGTATAAAAATATAGATATTTTATCAAATTTATGCAAAATATTTTTCATATGCATGGCGGCATTTCGCTAAAATTCTTCATGCGCTTGCATCTATTCAGAGTTAATGACAGAAAAGCTATATACTGCTGAATTTGTTTATCGTATATTCAATCGTTGCTATTTACGTATAAAAATTTGAAGAATCCCGCCATCTTCTGCCCGTATCTCTTTTCATCATTTCCGTTAAGAAATTTCTATTCGGGCAAATCTAATATTCTGGTTACAAATTCTGAAATATCCGTATTACGTCTAATATGTTCTGAGATAAAGGGATGTTGCAGTAATCGTTCATAATTGGGCCGTGCTGTGTAATTCTTTTGCAGGCATTTTGTTATAAAGTCTTCAAAGTCTGTTGAAAATGCGCCCGGCTCCAATCGTGGCGGATCATCTTTAACCACTTGTCGTAATTGTTCGAAAGGTGTCTTCCACGATTTATAAGGAAATTTACCTGTAGCCATTTCGATCATACTAATACCCAACGACCAGACGTCTGAACGTATATCGTACTGAGCAGGATTACCAGTAGGATCAATACGTTCGGGTGCCATATAAGGTTTACAACCCGCATCTATCGTCTTAGCCACTGAATCAACCAGGTAACCTGCAGAACGGTTAAATTCAGAACACATCCAGAAAATTATTTGTTTTACAATTTACCTGAAATGCCGAAATCGCACATTTTAACTTCACCATTGCGATTGATCAGTATATTAGATGGTTTGACATCACGATGTATAACTTTTAATTGTGCATGTAAATAATGTAAAGCATTTACCACAGACATAGCAATCTGCAATAAAAAATAAAAAAATAAAGAAATAAAAAAAAAGTAAAGACTCCAATACTCTTTCCTTAAATATAAGTTCAAACTTCCCAACCTATGGTTATGTTCAATTGTGTCATTTGCAACTTGGATACATTGCGCACGCTTGGTTATGGGGGGCGATTATGAATTTCTAGTTACTTAGTAACTTATTCGACCGCAGCCAAGTGGAGTTTCGGCAATGCCTATAACGTCACGCCACACACAGAAAGTAGGAAAAAATTTGGCATTTATGGCTAAAGGATAAAAAAAAACGTTGATAACATAAGCAACCTGAAGCGCTACTAACATCTTAAGTTGCGTTTCTAATAATTACTCTGTGAATCTTTACAATCTTCACTTCTTTCAGCTTTTCGACCTTACTTTCGATAATAAAAATTTCTAAGAATCTATATGGTTTTCGGTATGGTCCTCTTTTTAGACGTCTTAAAAAGATTTGTTACGTTTCTTTTATCCATAGAAATTCCGACAGAGGGAGGCCCAGCATTTTCAGATGGATGACGCACTTTATTAAAATTGCAAATTTTTAGTTTCATTTCCTATAAAAATCCAAAGTTACAAATTATAGAGAAGCACATGCCAACCTTGCGATAGTGAAAACCTAATTATCTATAAGAGTTAACCATTCTTAAATAGAAGTGTAGAAGTATAAAATAAGTACAGTCAAAGAATTTGTGACAAGCGAATATATATTGTGCGAATTTTTTGTGACATATATATCTGCAATCACTTACCTTTCCTAAGACACTTTCTTCCATTACTAGATTGTGTTTGAAGACTTTCGGATAAAACTTATCTAAACTGGTATCCATGACCTCCATACATATCCAGACGTCGCCTTCACGAAATAACGCGCCATAGAAGTGTACAGTGTATGGACAATCACTGGAACGCATCGATATATCCAAATCCATAAGTAGACGCTTCTGTTCTTTCCGATTTACAGTGGCTGTAATACGTTTGACAGCCATAACAGTATTCGTTTGCTCATGACGCATCTTCTCTACAATGCCATAGGCGCCACGTCCCAAATCACATATTTTCTCTAAACTGTCGGCATCAATCTCGAAGGTGCGTTCGCCAATCTGTATGGTAGTGCTAGAGTCGAGATTACGGGGGGGAACCCTTAAGGGATAAAAATTATCAATCAACAACATGGTAAGGTCTGTATGTAATTCTTACAATTCTGGTTCTGGATCCTTTTGTATGGTCATACGCAGGTTTGGTCTTCGACTGGACATTGTCTTTAAATTATGTTTATATATCGATATATGTTTAATAAGTATTGAAGTAGAGTGCTTTTCGTTTTACTTGCAAGTAAATCACTTCTAATATATTTCTAATGTTTTTTTTATCGTACTTTGAGTGTGGGGGCCGAATTTTCAGATCTCGTTTTCTCTTCCTCTTTACAATGTTACCTTTTATGGTGCTTTATCAAAACATTTTGTCGGCGTGTTTTGCCCTTACGCCGTCATTTCCTCGCGTATTTTACGTTTTTAATTATTATAAAAAAATTTTTTAAATTTTTTATTTACTTTTACAAAATGTTATTAATCAGACACCTTTTCTTATAATTTTCGTTAAATAAACTAGTCGTTTCAATATTTTTCGATTTATTTGTCAAAGCAAATGAAATTATCGTGCTTCGTTTGGTTTAGTCGTTCGTTTAATGCTGCCAAATCAACTCCATTTTTTTTTCAAACCCATATATTTTCAGCGCTATTTGTTTCTTAATACTTGTACAAAATTTTATTTACATTTGGTGCAAATTTTATTCAGTCAAATTAACAACAATAAGATAGTATTAAAAAAATAAAGTATACTTAATATATGGTTTCGTTCAATGTTAATCAAAACAATCACTACTTCTAGCAAAAAAACTCAAGTTATTTTACCAGCGACCCTGCGATCTAAGAGCGTTGACATAATGAAGCTCCGGTTATGTTTTCTTACGTAGAGAAACCATTCAATTTACAAAGTTTATATATTTTATAGCTCTGTAAATTAAATCTATATAATATATTTATCTAAAATATATTAATATATAAAAAAATATAACATAAATGTTATAAACTTATAAACTAATTTGTCCTGCAGAATTGAGAATATATGCGAATCGTTATCGTATTTTCAATCTATGTAGCCATAATAAATTTTTGAATTTATGGAAGCTTTGCAAACCCACAGTTTTATGATCCTCTGGCAATTTTGTTGTTGTCCACGTATAGTTAATTACTTAATAAAAAATTATAATTTTCGTTCATAGGAGACTGACGCACATTGAGTTTTTCCTTTTTTTGGCTTACGACTCCACCTTATTCATGTTTATCTTTCAATAATATACATATTCTTTATAAGTGGAAAACAGGCAATAAAGGGTGAAATTGTTCTACTAGAGAGGCATAAATGATAGTTTCCAAGATTTGAAATAATTAATATACGATAGTGTTATTAAATTTACGCAGATTATGAAAATTAACAAAATTGTTATTTTTTATGTATTTGTTACTTATGTTTACGTTGATTTCTTTATTTTTGATTCTGAATCCGTATGTTTGTGTTCACATTTTCTGTAAAACAAAATGGTAGCACGGGTGCTTATTGTATTTACCACTTGAGGGTTTTAAACCGACAACACGCCTCATTGTGTACGCACCTTAAGAATGCCGACAAAACCAATTCTGGAATTTGAAAATTTCAAGTAATAAACAAGGTTAATGCAATTCCAAAGTAGCGAAAGACGCATCTTTTGCGAAATGTTAATCATTGCCTGTTTAGGAGGCTGTACATATATAATTCAAAAGTTCCGTAAGCACCACATGTTGCGAACAATAGTTTTATACAATGTTTTCATTTTTCTTCATTTTCTATGTAATCATTATTCTTTATCACTAATCAATAAAAAAGCTTACTTACCTTAACATTAACTTTCTTACCGTTGTTTTCTATACATTGTTGTTTATAATTATGTTTATTTATTTCTTTTTGGTTCTAAAGCCCTACGTTTTTGTTTACAGTTTCTTATTAAATAATATTTTTGTATATAATATGGTGGCGCGGTTTCCATTGGGTCTTTTTGATCCAAATATAAGAATAACGCACCAGCCAGGTATAAAAAAAATCGTGTCCTTTTTGCTTTACCCCCAAAGTGTAAACTTCGCTTCCACTTTCATAAATATGCAAAATTTGTAACACTTATGTATTGAATGACTATCCCAGGGGTGCATATATAAGCAAGTTTTATAGTGTTAGCTCCTTTTCTATGGACAGTCAAATTAAATTTTATTTCCAGAAAAAATTTTAACATTTTGTCGTGAGGTAAATTTTCATAAAATAGATGAGTGTGGCAACTATGTCTACTTAATTTATTTTTGCTCACATAGTGTTGCTCTTTCTTGTGTCATTGAGAAGAGAACATATGTTTACGCTCTAAGTGCCTTAAAAATAGTAAGGAGAAAAGAAATATGAAATCCATTAAATCCATGCGGAAGCCACCATTAGCCGGCGTAGCATATTTGAAAAGAGATGCGGATTCTGACGTACAATTTGAATTGGAATTATATTGGTGTATCCAACAATTGGAAACAGCACTGAATGGAGGAAAACTCAGTCAAAAAATTGGTATATAAAATTATATTTCTTAGTGGTGACGAAAATTGTTTATTTATATTCTATTTAGCTGTTGACACCGTAAAAAATATAAAAATTCTGAAAAGTTCCAATGTTCCATTAATCAGAAAACGTCAAATAATGAAGGCTATGTTAGGAGATTATCGGGCCAAAATGAAAGAAGAGGAGAAAAAGATGAGCATAGGTAATCGAACATTTTATAAATAACTAAATCTCTTAATAAAAATATAATTTTAGCCTCGAAGCAAATTAAGTTTACTGAGGACGCAAATCTAATTTCAGACAATATTAAAAAATCAAGTTTCGTTAAGAAATCAGCGATACTAACATCTGGTAAGGACTTTCGTTTCGATTTCAATGCTCGCACAAAACTCGATGACTGTGCAAAGGATAATGAGCAACATTTGCAAAATAATGCAGAACTTGAAGTTAATAGTTTGCATTTCACAAACGGCAGCCAATTTAAGTTTAATTTTGTAATTGAATAAATGAACGATAACATCAGTGTGAGCTGGAAATAAAAAACTAATAGTCGCTACAACAATTTTTAATTAATATTTTCTTTTATACACTTAATTTTATTAATCACAACCTTAAAAAAGGAAAAATTCAAATATTGGAAGAAAAATTGAAGCTATTGCGTAAATACGCATAAATATAAAAACAAAAAATGTATATAAATATATGTCAATATATAAAAAATATGAAATAATCGCATTTTTTTAAAATTATTTTTTCAACGATCACCGCCCGTAGGTTGTCTTAGGTACTATTTCTTTTAACATATATATACTACAATTTATTTTCTTGATATATGTATAATGTAAGCCGTTTTTAGCAATGCATTTTAACGGTTAAAAGTAGTACCAACTCAGATAAATTTTGCCAATTTGACCGCTAGAAACGTTATATGGGGCCTCGATGGCATCAGCGCCGTCTAAGGATATCGCTTTTCTACAATCATTATTTATGTAAGTTGCTAGTTTTACATTGTCTTTTAGTTACATATAAAAGTATTCGATACTCATTTTGTTATATTTTCGAAGGCATTCCTATCAAATTTTTAAAATATTTCTTAATTTATTCTAAAAAGTCGGTTCAAAGATACACCAGCTTAATGTTTATGTATATATAAATAGGAAGTGAATAAAAAGAACATTTTCGTGCAGAATATAAAATTAATTGCATATACTTTTTATAATTGAAATCAATAATTATTTTTCATACGCCATCCTAATCATATAATATTTTTTTTTGTACGAAAAACAAGAGTAAAAGAATTTTTAATAAAATTTAATTTCCTGAAGTTAACAAAAGGTAACAAAAACATTATTGTATTTAAATGTAACTATATGATGTAATGATTATAAAGATATTAGCCAGTATGCGTTCCAGTATCAAGAAGGGTACAATTCAAGTGTTTTGCCTTGAACGAAGTTTTTTTTTACAAAGCCCTTGAAACAAACCATAAGAACCATATTTTGTTTTTACTCTTTCTCACTTTTAATACAATCGTTACGAAAATCCCATAATTTATTGTTTAAGCTTTTAAAAAAAATAATCGATTTTCTAAGAGAAAGGCAAGACCAAAACACAATTATGATGGTTCACTTCTATCACAGAGCTGGCGTCTCGCGGAAAGATTGACAATAATTAGCAGAAATTTTATAGGAAGAGGGATTGATACAAAAATGTCGCGATGAATTTAGATAGTGGTAACATCCTTATAAAAAGTTATATAAGCGGCATCTTTGCAGAAGGCAAAATTAATTGAGTGAAGAGGGTCGAGTCGCGTTATCAAAGTGAAAAAAAATGTTACGAGTGTAAATTCCTAGAAATAGATTGCAACTAGAATTCCTAATTTTGGAAATAAAACCTACCAGCCACAATTTAGCGGAACGAACTCGTTTAAAAAAAAATTTGAACACATAACGTGCAATTCTTAAAAAATTGACTTTCGTTACACTCGTGTCAGAAGTGAAATTGTGATCGACAAGGCGAAATCACGGTGAAATTGGGAGAACTAGCAGTAGAGCAACTGAAAAAGAAGCTGAGAGAGAGAGAAATATACTCTCAAGCGGTACCAAAGTCGAATTGAAGCAAAGGTTATGCGACCAGCTGGGGCAAGAGGGAAAGCACGTTGCAATACATGAGTACAAAAATGGTAGTGATGAGGATACAACTACAATGCACAAGGAGCATGACGGTGCAAAAACCGAAGATGATAGGGGCATATCGAATGCCGCTACTATGTAATTCCTATAGCAAATGCAAGCAGGACAACACCGAATGGCAGCGAAAATCGAAGAACAACGGCAAGAAATGGGATCGAAAATTAACAAAATTCAAAAAAATCAAGTTGAAGACGAAGTTAATGTGCTGGAACGGAAGGTTGCCGATGCGCTAAGCCAATTTGATGCCAAACTGAATGTCCTGGAAGAGGAAGTTAGAACGGATAGCAAGGAAAATGCGGACGCTGTGCGAAGCGAAATGATAGCTTTAAAGGAAGGAATGGCTGGGTTACAAATTAATGGCGGAACAACCAGGTCGACTAAATTAAAGGAAGTAAGTCACCTCAAGTTGTCTAGGCCCTGTCGGAAACTTAATTCAAGACTAGGCTATTGAAATCCAACGTCTGGTCACACAAAGAGCACAAAGGGAGACATTCCATATAACCTCAGTAGAATAGAAGACCATAACGAAATAAAAAGAGTCAGGCTGACTCCGAATTCTAGTAACCCAAGGATTGGTATTACCCAATCAATTAGAAGTAACAACAGTCTAACTATCGATGGGGAAATCGAGGGTTGTAACTACTTGATTACGCTGGATACGGGTGCTTCCCATTCAATTATTAGCAGTCTATACCACCCGCACGGGAAATTTGAACAGTTAGTCGGCGTATAGTTTCGGGCGGCGACAGTTGAGGAAGCACCTACTATGGGTAAAGCTATCAGAAATATTTCGACTAGCTATGTTTCGATAAATCATGAATTTGCATATATAATGGAAATTAATATGTTTCGGTCCTGCAACGAGTTAAACTCTAATTCCATAACGGGTTAACCAACGCAGGTTAATGCATGCGTATGCAATTCAGCTTTTATTGCAGACGCGTATATAAGCATATCCTACATGAAGTTAATAGAACCATACTTTATTAGTAGACTATGTAAACCAACAAAGGCGTGGGGGAGCCGCAAGCCCTCGTGGGGGAGGACGTTGGCGGGCTGAAAGCCCACGCGACAAGAAAAAATTCCACACTATTAACATATATACGTAAATATGTATGTGTTTCGCAAAGTGCATGATCTTTGGGAAAAAAGTGAAACCTTAAAGTTTCAACAAATGGGGCGCACACTGATGAAGATCAAGTCAGGACAGTAAAATAACGGCCACGACCAAAGAATTTGCACGAGGTTTGTGGTTAAGTTTACTATGGTTGCCAGTGGGTTGATCTTGCGAAGAAAAACCCTGCCTATTGGAGGAGGCTCAGCAGCTTTTTTGCACGGCGTTCATTTTAGCTTATCCATTTACCAGGAAAATAGTGATACTGACGTCTGTGCGGAAGGCTGAGGCAGCGTGCTCTCTCAGGAAATTGATGGCAGCGAAAAGGTAGCAGCATACTACAGTAAACGCCTATCCAAATCGGAGAGAAATTATTGTGTCACACGACGATAACCACTGCAAAAAATGCTATTTATCAAGTGCTTCCACAAGTATCTATAGGGACAACAGCTCCACTTAAGAACAGACCATGCTGGTCTGTGATGGCTACTCAACTCCAATGAGTCAGAAGAACAATGGGCCAGGTAGACTGAAAAACTACAAACTGACCATTTCTCGATCTTCAATAGAATTGGTAATCTCATGGTAATACGGATGCCATGTCCAGACGTCCATGCGACCCGTACTGCAAACATCGCGTAATAAGCAAGAATAAAAAAGGTGTCACCGTCGGCCGGACCTTTTCGAAGGAAAGTATACGCGGTGGACAAATTACTGACGAAGATTTGAACGTGATATTAGCGGCCATAGAAAAGGGGGAGCATCCCACCTGGGAACAGATTGCAAAAGAAAGTTTGATTTCCAAAAAGGCATATTGGGCTCAAAGGCAAAGTCTCATCACCCAAGATGAATATTTATGGCAAATATGGGAAAGGAAAGTGGTTCATGGGCTAAGAAGTTATTGGTGGTCCTACAAGGGAGAACTTGGGAAATTATAAAGGAATATCACAACGGACCAAGCGGAGGACATCTTGGCATCATAAAAAGGATGGAAACGATTAAACAAAATTTCTATTGGATAGGTATCCGTATCAATCATTTCGACCTACAGTATGGTATGTATTGAAAATTTCAACGAAGTTATTATAAACGCGATTCAACGTGGTGAATTTATGACACTTGCACCCATAGTTGTTTTGGACGTAACACATTAAAAAGAATTGGTTAAAACTGGACGAATCAATATTCACCTTGAATTGAAAACTTGAAATAACATACTAATCTAACAAGCTAATCTGCATATCATTTAGCTATACGTGATAAAATATTGATATGCTCAAAAAATGATAAATATTATATATGAAAAATATTATTTATTATATTTTATCTCAATTATTTTTCATTATTATATCTTTAAACACAACAGTGTACGTTCAGAATAGTATAAAGAAGTTAGCTATATATTTTTTACTTGTCATACTAAAAATAATGATTGGTAATCCTTTACCAATCACTATTAATGTTGCTCGAACAGGCTCAAATTCAACAAGCAAGAAAATTATATTCGGTCGTGACCGAATCTTTTATACCCATCGCGATTATTTTAAAAAAGACAAAAAAAGTAAACGACTACATTTTCATGCGTTTTAATATGAAGAAAGCGCGGCCGATTTTTTCTATTTAGGAAATAAAACTTTTTGTCGCATAGGTTTGCGGGCGTTATAGGCATGTCCTTGGAAAACTTTAAGTCACTTCTAAATTCTTTTGCAAATTTGCCGGCGATGTCTTCGTTTTCGCTAACGATGGAATCGTTACACAGTTCCACAGACGGATAAATGAACAGACGAACAGAGGGACATGTTTAGATGCATTTCAAATTTGAAACTGTTCAAGAATTTATATATTTTATGGATGAAACGAGTTTTTGCATGATTTGTATGCAAAATGTACAATAAAAAGAAAAAATACCAACAAGCAACCAAGAAAACGTACTTGCCTAATATGTTTGTTGCGAGCACGTAACAACAATGACGGGTACTTGAATGCCCATAAGAACCCACGTAAAATAGAGCACTGCAAAGTGGTCGGCGCAAAACCACCACGCATAATAAAAGCGAATTGGCAATGACAACTCTGCCGGATGGTCTGCATAAGAAAAGGCGAAATGACATTCGTCATCAGATGCCAACGAGATAACAAGCGATCGCGGACAATTGTGAGGAAAAAAAATAAAATAAGTAAAAAACAAAAAAAAGACAAAACGACAAATAAAACAATCTACGGATCAACGAGGAGAAGTGCTAGTTCGATAAGAGTAAGCTTAAATACCTGGGCCACGTGATTACAGAGCAGGGTATCTAAACGGACCCCGAGAAAACTGCAGCCATTAGCGAGATGCCGATACCCACGAGTACCCGTGACACTAAAAGGTGCACCAATCTTAAAAAGGACATAAAAACGATCTTTGATGCGATATACAGATCAAAATATTAGCACAATGTTTTTGGAATAATATACATTTATAAACAAGGATCAAGTGTCGGATATACATCCAGTCGATCTACATGATAGGTGTAATATTTTTCCAATCGCGAATCCAAGGTATCTAAATTCAATCATTGGGGAAATACCTCGCGCTGAACTTAGTTACCTATTATATTGTTATATACTTATTCCTGCGATCGAACTCCAACCAATAAATGTTCTACCTATAGCTTTTAATACAGGTTCAACGACGACCCGAACACCTATAAACAGTGTATTGACCAACGTGACATTCTCATCAACTTGGGATGAACGCATATACGTTAAGGAGAGAGAGTCTCAGAGGCTTGTTGTCTCCGCGTAGAGCGACAAGAATTCCGTTATCGAAATTCATTTAGCGAAGAACAAAGGCGGGATCATTACCGATGCTCTTAAAGTACGGAGAAGCAGCATGGAAATTATGCGTGCCAACACCCATGAGGACCGAGATGTTGAACGAAAATATCGAAATACCAATTTTTCAAAAACTTTAACAAGACACCCAGAACATTTTCCACAGGTTATACGGAAGATCGCTAACCGCAGGCTATTGAGCCGAGGGAGGAAGAATTTCAACCCCTTATCCATTACCACAGCTGGGTGGGAGACCCGGAATTCGTTGAAATACTGAAATAATAACAAAGAAGAACACGTCTGGGATGTCAATTCTTATAGAGATGAAGGTACATCTTTTTTCGCAACGAGGGACACCACTAATGAAGTGTTCACAAACGTAGACGAATACATTGTATTCTGCCTAAAATTTGCGGATACTTTAGTAGTCTTCAAAGAAAATGATGAAACCAAAGAAATTTACTACCGCTAGCGGTGATAGGTATGGTGCTATTTCTAACTCCTCAACTGGTGACGTGGAATACCACACTAAAATACACTACGGACCTGCGCATAGCTGCACCATCGCAGCTATGCAATCTTAAAAAGGACATAAAAAGAATTCTTGATGCAATATATAAATCAGAGTATTAGAACAATGTTTTTGGAATAATATACATTTATAAACAAGGATCAAGTATCGGATATATATCCAGTCGATCTACATGATAGGTGTAATATTTTTCCAATTGCGAATCCAAGGTATCTAAATTCAATCATTGGGGAAATACCTCTATGCGCTGAACTTAGTTACCTATTATATTGTTATATACTTATTCCTGCG